GGGTGTCACAGCAGCCTGCTGGGGGCTGGGGGTGTTGTCTGCATGCTCTGCCTGCCCTTGCCTCCCCCCGCAGACCCTCCAGACCCCCCCAGCAACCTGAGCTGCACCATCAAGGAGGGCTCGGGGCGCCTGGCATGTACGTGGGACGCGGGGCGGCCGACCCACCTCAGCACCCACTACACCCTCCACCTGCGCAGGTAAGACCCCATGGGACCCGGGGAGGGGGGCTGGGGGGGTTCAGGGGGATGCGTGGAGCTGGGGGGTCGGGGTGGGGGGAGCGTGGTACCCGGCAGATCCGGCACAAGGCGTGCGGTCGGGGCGCGGTGGCCACAAACCCCGGTGACACCCGTGCCCTAGTTACGCTTTCCCAAAGCTCAAAGCATCTTCCCGCTCCCCTGCTCACAAACCTCACATGAAAGCAGGGGGGTGGGGAGTGGGGGGGTGTGGGGGTCAATTTTTCAGGATGGCCCCTGCACCCTCGGTGCCACTGGGGGCCCAGCATCACCCCACAAAACGCTACAGCCAGGAGGTTTTTTCGTGGACCCATTGATTCTCTCTTGAGATAAAGGCTGTGCACTTAGTGATGCCCAAACCCCGAAACCGAAACCCCTGGGGGGGTTGTGTAAAAGCTCAACACACGTGCCACAGCTCTCCTGAACCAGCCCAGGAGGCTTTCTGGCCACCACCACCACCGAAGCCCGCCCCCCTCCCTGTGACACGAGACCAGGCAAGCTTCCGAAGTCAATCTGACTCAATTATTAAAGGCATTAAATCCCGTCACACGTAGGCTTTGTGGAGAGAAGTGATTAACCACCCGCCTAAATTTGCTTGGGTTCAAACTTTGAACCAGAAAGAACTTGAGAAAGTTGCCTTCCTGCAGCGAAAACGCAAATACCCCACAGAAAGAGCGAGAACCGAAGGCGACTACTTTCTAGTTCTCCGTAAGAGTGACAAACTCTGGTTTCGGGGATGACTGTGTCCCCGTCACCAGCCGTGACCCCTCCAGAGCCGGGGTTGCGTGCTGCTGGGACCTGGACTCTGACCGGGGCTGCCTTCTGCTTCCCAGTGTGGGGACGGCGGCGGATGCTGAGGATGAGGAGGAGGAAGAGGTCTTCCCTGTGGACTCACCAGTGCTGCTGAGCACTCTGCGTGGTGGAAACCACTACTGGGCATGGGTGCAAGCCAACAACACGCTGGGCACTGCCCGCTCGGCTACCCAGCGCCTGGACCTGCAGGAGCTCGGTATGTCCATCCATCCATCCATGATCTGCACTGCCCCAAAATGTCACTTCAGGGACACACAGCCCCCCCCATGGCGTGCCAGCCCCCCAATTTCCCGGCTCTCCCCACAGTGGTACCTGCTCTGCCCCTGGTCGCTGGCGCCGAGACGATGGAGATGAAGCCTCCCATCACCACCGTGCGCTGGAGGAGGCAGACGTTGCTGGAGAACCTGCACTGTGAGGAGAGACACAAAGCCACCAGTGACCCAGAGTGGCATGTGAGACAACCTAGGAACCACCCCCAAACACCCCCCTCCATGTGCACCAGCAGCCCCCCTTTAGGAGACAGGCCAGTCCCAGTCCTGCTGGAGACCCCTAAGCATCCAGGAACAATAGGAGCATCTGGGGTCATTCAACACTCACTCACCCACCCTTTGCTTTGATGCTGGGTGGGGGGGCACGCACCCCTAGCCATGGACAACCCCCCACCTTGGCTGGGGTGGGACAACTGATGCCTTCTGAGAAACCACGCAGCCTTTCAGGAGGGGTTCTCTCTGCTTTTTAGGCAAAAGGGCAAAACTATAAATATTTCCAAATGTTATCTGGCTCCGCAAGGACAAGGCAAAACAGCCTCGAGGGCTGCTGAGCCCCCGCACCCCCCCAGACACAACTACCCCTGGGGAAGGTTCCCCCCCAGATCCCTTTTGGAAACCTCCCCAGGCAATGCCAGGGGCTGAGGCTGGACCCCAGCACCCCCGGGACCCCCCAAAACTGCCAGAAGCCCAGTGTGGCAGCAGGTCGGGGGTTCTCGCTGCACCCCCCCAGTGCTTTAGCAGAAGGGACTGTGTGTGCAGTGTCTCACAACAACATCAGCCTCAAAAACACATGGGAAAGGGGTGATGGGGACCCCCCACCCCATGTCCCAGGGCTTAGCCAGCCCTGTGTGTTTGGGGACAACCACAACTGTCCCCATCCACACAGACCCACGTTCTATGTGGGGGTCCAGAGGGGGGACGGATGGGTCCTGCTCCCCCCCTAACCCCTTGCTTCCCTTGCAGGTGGAGGTGTGGGACAGCACAGGGCAGGACGGTCCCCTCTCGAGGCACAACCTGGAGAGTGACACCCAGTACGGAAAGGGGTGATGGGGACCCCCCACCCCATGTCCCAGGGCTTAGCCAGCCCTGTGTGTTTGGGGACAACCACAACTGTCCCCATCCACACAGACCCACGTTCTATGTGGGGGTCCAGAGGGGGGACGGATGGGTCCTGCTCCCCCCCTAACCCCCTGCTTCCCTTGCAGGTGGAGGTGTGGGACAGCACAGGGCAGGACGGTCCCCTCTCGAGGCACAACCTGGAGAGTGACACCCAGTACGTGTTCCAGGTCCGGTGCCGGCTCAGCCCCACCAACAGCCCCTGGAGCTCCTGGAGCACCCCCTTTCTCTACACCACCCCCGAGGCAGGTAAGCCCCACTGCATTTTTCCCCATCGGCTCCTTGAGATGCTTCATGGGGACCTGGACCTGGCTGGGCAAGCTAAAGGTAGCCACCAACATGGGTGTGCATGGGACACACGTGGCATGGGAGCCTGCACGTCCCTGTGCTGCCAGAGACCTCTGTTGGCAGACACCAGGCATGATGCTGCAGTCCAGGAGGCATCACCACCACCATTCCTACGCTGCAGTCAAGGGCTGAGCACTGACATGAGCTGGCAACTCATCTCATGCCCTCTGAGCACCAAGCCCCACAGCAGGTTGCAGGTCGTGGTGATTTTGGCAGACCCCTGAGGCTGCTGGGGTATGGCAGGAGCTGGAGAGAAACCAGGAATGGGGGGGGGTGCTTTGCAGACACATGGTTTTCTGTACAGAAAGAGGGATGGGATGGACTTGTCCATCTTTTGTAGCCCCAGCAGCAGGGAACACCTCTTGGAAAGCCTGAGGTGGAAAAGCCACATCAACCGAGATGTCCCACCAGCCACAAATACCTGTTGCCTAGGGTCAGCTTCCCCAGTTTGCATTCCAACTGGGAACACGGGGGGCATGGAGGCTCAGTTACCTCCACCAGTGGGGGCTGAGATGCCCAAGGAACGATGCCTTCCCTTGCATCCCAGATGCAGCAAGGAAGCTGGGAACGCTCTTGTCCTAAAAAGCAGCACTTGCTGCTGTTGGCAGTCTGGACTGTTTCCTCTCCGTGGTGGCAGAGATGTGCAGCCACCACCCTTCCACATGGGAACCAGCCCCGTGCTCCAGCACCGAGCCACCAGGGTGTTCTGCAGAGCCTGGGTGGGAGCCCCACGTCTGGGTGGGAGCCCTGGCTGGTTGCCCTTCAGCAGCTCCTGCCACCTCCCACGCTTCCTCCCGCAGCCCCGGCCACGTCACCCGACGTCTGGCGGCACCTGGGCCCGGCCTTCCCGAACGGCAGCCACGAGGTGACGGTCTTGATCAAGGTAAGGTCTGGTTCTTTGAGAAGCTCCTGTGAAGTTCTGGCATGCTCGGCTCCTCCCCGAGAGCAGCACTTGCCAAGAGGGAGGGGAATCACAGAATGGTTTGGGTTTGAAGGGACCTTAAAGCCCCCCCAGTGCCACCCCCTGCCCTGGGCAGGGACACCTCCCACCACACCAGGTTGCTCCAAGCCCCCTCCAACCTGCCCTTGAACCCCTCCAGGGATGGGGCAGCCACAGCTTCTCTGGCCAACCTGGGCCAGGCTCTCACCACCCTCCCACCAAACAAGTTCTTCCCCACATCTCAGCTCCATCTCCCCTCTTGCAGGGTCCAACCCTTCCCCCTCCTCCTAGGGCTCCCCTCCCTCATCCAGAGTCCCTCCCCAGGGTGATGTTCTTCCTTAGAGCTCCTTGACCAAAAGGGCTGTCTGTCTTATCATTTGCAGCCTCTGCTGCCCCGGGATGCCCGGGGGAAGATCCTGGGGTACACCATAGTTGCTGGGAGGCCTGGGGGAGATCTGCTCCTCTGCAACACCTCCAGCACCATCTGCAGCATCCTGGTGCCCCCAGGAACCCGTGTCCTCCACGTCACTGCTCACAACTCCAAGGGGGCTTCCAGCCCCGCCAGCATCACCCTTGGCCAGGGCACCAGCAGCCAGGAAGGTAGGATCTCACACAACACCAACTGCAGCCTAGATTTTATCAGGACTGGAAGGGAGAAAAAAAAAGCGCTAAATAAAGGGAAAAACCTCACTCTGTTGAGGAACACAATGTCCTCCAGACAAGGCCAGCATCCCTTGGAGATGCTCCGCAGCCACATATCTCAGTCCTTGGGCTTTGAAGGCTGCAGCAACAAGTTTAAAAACAAGTTTGCCCTACCCACACAGGGGTGCTCCTCTGCTCTGTGCCCCCCAAAAATACCTCCGGCCAGGGAGACAGTCCCCACTGTGAGCTGGGTCCTTGCAAACAGAATGGGAGGAAAGAGAATAAAAATCTTTTCTGGGCCACCTTAGATCCCCCGCGCCACAGGCTGTGGTTTTCCCCACAACCACGCTTTCCTATTTTTAAAAGAAATCGTCTCTTTGAATGAGCAACGGGAGGGGAAAGTCCCATTCAAACCCAGGACAAATATATGACTAAGAAGAAACTCAAGAGAAATAAGGTGGAAAAAATTCTCTAATGTCTTCTCATACTTATCAGAATCACACGCCTTTCTTGTAAGAAATGACAGGTAAGGCGCTTCAGATGAGACATGACAAAGCTGAAGATGTGCTTTTTGTGATATGTGCGTGTCACCACAGAGATATACAAAAAGCTCCCCATTTTTTTACATATATATAAAAAATACATTTAAAAAAATATATATAAAACCACCGCATTCTATAATTTCTTATTCCATCTTCAGTCCTTAAACACTTTCAGGAAAGCTGCAGTTTTCCTGGGCTTAGCTGACCCTTCCCAGCCTTCCACTCTCTGAAGATGAGGTTGGGGTGACAGTCCCGTTGCCACCTCTCTCCACAGAGTTCCCAGCGCCGGTGGCCATGGAGGTCAACCCCACGAATGGGAGCAGAATCTCAGTGGCCTGGAAGCCCCCTCACGGCAGTGGGAGATCCCCTCTCTGGTTCATAGTGGAGTGGGTCACCACCACTCAGTATAACCAGGAGGAGCAGTATTTCTGGAAAAAAGTCCCATACCAGGAAACACACACGTACATCCCAGGTAAGATGGCCCAGAAACCCCTTTTCATAGAACCATTCAGGTCGGAAAAGACCCTTGGGATCAGAGTCCAACCATCAGCCCTACTCTACAACGTTCTCCCCTACAGAATATCACCCAACACCACATCTAAACAGCTCTTAAGCACATTCAGGGATGGTGACTTTGCTACTCACCACATCTAAACAACTCTTAAGCACATTCCGGGATGGTGCAGTTCACCAAGATATTAGAAAGCCAAAATATATTAACGGCAGAGTTTTGTTTGAAATCGAGCCCCTGCCCACTTGGTTTTGGAGAGTGGGAGCCCTCAAGAAGGAGTGAAGCAATAGGAGATATGAGGGCAGTTGGTGGGATTTCGTCCCCCAGGTGAAGGTCACAGGGAAAGGGAATAAGGTGACAAGTGAGCCAGCAGGCAGGGAAGCCATGGAGGCCTTCCCAAGTCCAGGAGGTATTTAAAGGATGCAAAGAGAGAAGGCACAACATTTGATGGAACATGGCTGTTGTTTTAGCACCTTTCCTCCCTGCCGTAGCCAGAGAGACAAGCCTGAGGAACACCTCAGAACCCATCCTACTCCATTCCTGCTTTCCCATGTTAATTCTAGTGTTTATTGGGTTTTGGGGTACTTCCTAGCTGGTTACCTGACCAGGCTTTTGCTCTTCCACATGTTTTTGGGAGCAACTCACTTGGTGGCTTTCCCCAGGGGAGGAAAGACCTGCAGGGGACTCAGAGCTGGAGACCCTCCACACCTTTCTCTACTGTCACCACTCAGTAACAAGCCCTTGAGCAAGCCCAGAACTTTCACAGCAGCTTACAAACACATTTTAAAGGCAAAACTCACGTCTTTCCAGAAAAGGCCACAGCAGGTTGTCGCATCAGTGTGTTGGTGTACGCGGTCTACCCCGATGGAGTCAGCAAACCAAGCTCCGGCCAAGGTAAGCCCACTTGGGTGCACAAGTCACCACTTGCTGTGACAGGGCTGCAGAGCTCAGCTTGCTCTTTCATTCTTCATATTCCCACAACCAGCCAGTTTTGCAGAATTGCTTAGTTTTTAGAAACAAGATGGAAGACCCCCCCCACTAACCAGAAGAAAGCAGGGCTCTAGATGGAGACCCCTTGGCTGCAGGTCATGAAAACAGGGATTTTTATCAATATATCTGCATAAAAGCCTTCACTAGCTGATCTTTGCTCCTGCTCATAAATCTCCAATACACACAAGAACCATATCTTACCCCACAAGATACACCAATGGAGTCATCGTCCCTTTTCTTGACAGAAAAGATGAGGTTTTCACATCAAACAATCAAATTTCATAGATAAACCAGAACAAAGAAAATGACTGACAGAGACCAACAGGCCAAGCTACAGCCTGACGATGAGGTTTTCACATCAAACAATCAAATTTTATACATAAACCAGAACAAAGAAAACAACTTTCTTACCTGGAACAGGAAGCAGGCAGGCTTCGGTTCTGGAGAATTTTAGACAGGACAAGGCATGGGCCAGATGACAGAGGAAAGTAAGGACCAGCTGTGCGTCAACTCCAGCACTGTCTGTGGTGGCTTTGGTTGTCTTCAAGAGCTAAACACACTGAGTTCCATGAGCTCTTCCATCCTGCTGCTGGTCCTCACCCAGGTGAACCAGGATAAGTCACACACAGCCCAACAGCTGAGAGCAGAAGTCACCTCTCAGCACCACCATACCTGCTCCATGGCCACCACAGCACAGAAAAAAACCTCTGGGACACCACACACAGTGTCCAGTGGTGGCTGGGTAGGAACATAGAGACAAGGGAAGGCTGAGATTAAGCCATGAAGTCAGTCTATGGATCAGAGCTGAGACCTCCAGAGCTCCTTCAGCATAGTTTATAGGCCAGGGCTGAGCTTAAATAGCCCCACACCCAGGGCCTGTGGGTGGAGATCCCAGGTGAGGCTTGTCAAGGCCATTAAGACCTGTTAGTGCCCTGAGATAGGCAGCTATAGCTGCATACAGTGATAACACCTTGGGATGTCAGCAGTTCACCATCCCATGCTGCGAAGCAATTTTAGATGCATTATTTGAAGCTGCTCAGATACCTTCCCCACAACAAACCATGGTTGTTGGCACCTCTCATGGCTTTGAGAAGGGAAATTATTCCACGTTTTTTTCCCCAGAAATGGAAGAAAATATTCCTGAGTGGTTCATCCCAGGTTGCTTCATACAACCTGGAAGAAAGCTTGCAGCTTATTTTAGCAAAACCCTCCACTTCTTGTCATGGCAGGCCCTTTAGCTGCAGATCTTCCCTCACCACACAGCCCATCACACAAACAGATACCATCAGAAAATTCAGTCCCAGGGGCCATGGACACTTTGGGAAATAATCTGCAGGTGGTCACGAAAAATGAGGTACAATTCCCCAGGAATACTAAATTCTTCTTTCAGGTACTGAGGGGAGTGATGTACGTGGAAGATGTTTTATCATTGGTGTTATGTGTCCATCAACAACTCGTTTAATTGGATCTCTAAGAAATAGGAGATTGTGTAGAGTCCAGCCAGAGCTGGAGTTACTAATCACTTCAGGAGGGTTTCTTTTACTCAATATACCACCATTTATTTTTCTAAATAATTTTAACTAACTAAAAAATGCCATGGTTTCTGTGTCACCTATTGTCCTTTAAATGAAGTTCTGGACCTTTTTTTTCCTCTCTCTGTTTAAGTCCCTTCAGAGAAGCATCACGTAAGCAGCATCTACAGCGACATCTCCCACGGTAAGAAGACGGTAGCTCAGACTTGCTAAGCTGGACTTTCTCCTTGACCAGAAGCAGGAGTTTTAGCCCAAGCAGCCCCTGCAGCATCTGATGATGGGGGAAGAGAAAGCTCCCTTACTCTTGGGTGAGGTCAGGGCCAGAAAAGCAGCTTTTCCCTTGGTGGGGACACGAGCTGCACGGCAGGAACGGCTGCAGCGCTCCCATGGCTCAATAGCATAATTCATGCCTTAAGTTCTGCTTTCTTATGAGGCTTATAATATAATGTACATAACAGGGAGTAGGAGATAAGAAGCCCAGGAAAATATAAGATAACGTTGACATAAAGCATAAAGGCGATAGACGCTTTCAGTCTTGAAGTTTGAAACATTTAAGTATTTCCCATCCAATTTTCTCACTCTTTGGTCACGCTTCTGACTTGCGCATCTTCTGGTAAAGCTGACGTTACGACCCGTTGCAGTAATTAAACCAAAAGCAAAACCAGCCTGAGCTGAAGAAGTCACTTCAGCATTTCTGGAAAGTTGGGGCTGCGTAGGAAATGGTTAAACACAGTGGCCACACTTCTTCGAATGACTCGGCTGAACCCCCTTGCCCATGGCCATCGCCCGCGATGCTCCGGTCATGGGACAGTGCAGAGGGGACAGCAGTTCTGGTTTTGCTTTTGTTATGGCTTTGTTTCGTCCACCGGGGAGCAAAAGGGCGAGCGAAATGCCAAATGAAAGGAGTGAATGTCAAAGAAACGAGTGAAACGTCAGAGATCTGCCCTTTCTATCAACCTGCATGGTGGCAGATGGGGCGGTGGGGCAGGGATGGTCCAGCATGGTGGCAGATGGGGCGGTGGGGCAGGGCCGTCCCATTGACCTTCTTCCTCTCTGTCCTTTTCCAGATGATGACACTGGCGTTTTCCTGGGACTGGGAATCAGTGTGATCATGTTATCTGTTGTTTTTTTAATTCTGATGTTTAAAAAATCAGCCAGAAAAAGGTATTGTTTTCTCCGCTATTTTTTTTTTCCTTATTTCCAACTCTTGCCTTTCTTCCAGAAGAGTTTAGAATTAACCCCAGGAACCTCCTCTTACAAAGGACAACCTCTCCCATTAATCGCATTGCTACATGAAAAGACACTTATGCCCTCTACAGTAAGGCAGAGACCAACAAAAAAAAGTAAGGCCAGACTTAGGGACACACAATATATTATTACACAGATATAAGGGGTAGAAAAAGAAAGGAAAAACACAGCCTCTGTGGTTAAGTTTTGTCCTAGGGCTTGTTACTCCCAGTTTTATATTATTACACAGATATAAGGGGTAGAAAAAGAAAGGAAACACACAGCCTCCATGGGTAAGTTTTGTTCTGGGGCTTGTTACTCCCAGTTTGGAGTGAGGAAGGGATGCTGAAGCCCCTGGCACCTGGACCCCAAGGGACTGGCAGAGACTGGTGAAAGAAACGGTGGAAAAACTCAATGGGGAGAATCTTAATACCATTTTTTTTTAGTGCTAGCTGCTGTCTGCTGGGCACCCTGACAAACCAGTGCTCCTTCTATCCCAGTTTGCCCTTTAACTGGAAGAGGGATGCCCAACAGCCCAGGCACTGCTGTCCCAATCCCACGGGAACAGGTGACAACAGAGCTCCCGGCTGGATCTTCCCGACAAACCAAGAAATGGGGATTTTCTCCAAGAAATAGGAGACCTAGGGCTCGTGGATGTCGAGGGGCTCCTGCCTCTTTCGCTTCCTGAACCCGACCCAGTTCTTCTGTTCTCGATGTCATTGTGAAACACGGGCACTTCAGCAGCAACAGGCACTGGTTGTATTTTCCCAGGAGCACAGCAACGTGCCAGAGCATCAGCAAAACTCAGCATAATTGAATTATTTTCGTTTCTGCAGCAGCTTTGGCTACAGGAAAATTGACTTTTGTTACTACTGTGTGTTTGGTGTCATCTCTTCAGGACACACATGCCTCCTCTGGGTCATACACCCAGCATCGTTCTCCCCTCCAACCCCCAGTTTAGCAACATTTTCACCTGCAGACAAGTTTTACATGAGGGATTTCAGTGAAATAATTTAGCTTCCAGAATAAAACCCAGAGGAATAAGGTTGAAAGTTGAACAGCTAGAGTTCAAACGGGGAAACCCACCCATATAGGGTAAATCTGGGGCTTCCAAACCGTCCATGAGGATGGACATACTTTGTGTCTTCTCCTGCCAGGGGAAAACTTCACCCAACATGAACTAATAAAATGGACTAACATTCTGGGGTTTGTTTTGTCTTTTTGGTAAAGAATTAAGGCCACCGTTCTGTCGCTCTTGCCCAAATGGCTGTTTGAAGACTATCCCCACATGGAAAACAGCAACGTGGTGAAGTCACTCCAGGTAATGGCACCATTACCTCCCAGCTTTTATTCACTTTTCTCCCCTTAAATTAAGGCTTGCTCCAGAGCTGTGAGAAACATTGATGAGAAGAGGAAGAAGGGGGCCCAAAGGGACCAGGAACTGGCCAGGAATCATTTCCCAGGAAGGTTCAAGGTGCTTGGGAGCCCAGCTTAGCAGACGCCTTTAGATCTTGCCTCAATATACACTTTATTTAGTGGCCACAGTTGACTCAAGCTGCCCATGAGGTGCATGTCCATGAAGTGTAGCATGGAGACAGGCCCAGCTGCTCCCCTCTTTTCTCCTGCCCACCTCACTGTGGTCTCTTTCACAGGGGTTGTTGGATGAGATGAATGGGAAGGAAGACCAGATGAAGACAAGAAGTCATTGCCTCGTTTCTTCCTTGGGATGCCCTAATGATATCTCTCCTGTTGGCAAAGTTGGCCAGTCTGTTACTACACTCATCTTTTTTTTTTTTTTTTTTTTTTCCAGGAAAAGAGCCATTTCACAAGTAACAGTTTCCATGAACCATTCTTGGACACCAGTGACCCCACAGTTACAGAAATTGAGGAGGTGCCAGCGCACGAGGAGTACAAGAACGTGGCCACCAGGAGGAAGCCCAGCAGAGAGGTCCCCGAGGATGGGGAACGCCCAGGGAACACGGTGCCCACCAGCATCATGGCCCCTGTGCAGATCAGTGACTACAAACCTCAGGTGTCTGATGGGAACCAGCTGGGGTACGTAGCTGCCAACTTCTACCAACCGCAGCCTCCCGCAGACCTCCCAGAACCGGAGACCAACATCTTCTTCAGAGATTACACGAGCCCCATTGCCCACCTGTGGGACGGGGAGGGAGGTGGACACCAGGTCTGTCTACTGGAGAAGATCAACCTCATCCTAAACACCAGCCGGAGCGGGCAGAGCCAGGCATTCAGCTCAGCTCAGGGGGGACATGGTTCCCTCCTGGAGAACCCGTGGGGACACGCATTGGCCAGCGATGTCCAAGAGCAAACGCTAGTGCCCGACGAGCTGGTCTCCTGCCTGAGGGCCATGAACAGGGAGTCAGGGGATGGAAAGACTTGCTTTCCCCAAAGCGTTGGAAGATTATTTTGAAAGGAATTGTAGTTGTGGTTAAAAAAACCTGAAGGGATAGCCATGGCACATACCAGCCTTTAACAGCACAGATTATTTTGAAAGGAATTGTAGTTGTGGTGAAAAAAACCTGAAGGGATGGCCATGGCACATACCAGCCTTTGAGACTGCAAACAGCATGACTGGAGCAAAACTCAAAAAATCCACCTTTTTAATCAGCTACAAATACTTGCGGCTGACTGGAACCAGTAAATCACAATTTTAAACTTACCTCATATTGTCACAAGCGTAAAAAACCTATGAAACTTGGATTCCCATAAGAAATGAAATACAGAGCGGGTGATTTTTTGAAGGATGCAGTACGCTTCCATTATTATTCAAAATCATTCTCTTGTTAAATGTTAAATTCTCTTGTTTGGAGCATTTAATCCCTGCAGTTAAGATGGATAAAACGATGCCTAAGACATCCTGACTGAATTGGGTAAAATGCCTCGGGACCACTCCTAATGAAGGGATGCTGCGCCAAGGAGGATTTATTTATCGTATGGCATTCATGGGCACCAAGAACAGGAAATCTTTTCTGTATGACAGAATAACCCAATTTCATTTTCCCTCCCAGTCAAGAATAAAGACCACATCGGGTAAGAACAAGCCTTCACCATCTGCCAGGCTGATTTCAAATCTCTCTGAATCAGTCACTGGGCAGATTCTTCATTTTGAGTGAGGGATTTATCCTCTCATGGTGGCTTGTCACCGCCTCAGCCTCGCCGTGCTGTGTGAAACACAATGGGCTACAGCAAAATGGCATTTATTTGGCACGCGACAGGGAATTTGGATCTTCTGACATCCAGAAAATGAACTACAGGAGCCTCCTTCCCACTGAGTGGTTGAGAAATCATTTACAAGTTTGCCTGGGACTTCAGAAGTGCTCTTGCAAAATGTCCCTAGGGCAATCAGAAACTTCCTGGAAGCCTGAGAGGTTGGATTATCTGTTTGCTGATCACCCACACCTCTTTAAGGAAACACTGCAAATGCTTTTAAAGAATAGAAGCGTAAAAGAAGTTCTCAATACTGTGTAACATGCCTGAGCAGTCTCTCCACGACGTTTGCTCTCCCGTTTCTCTTCTTCTACCTCTTATGTCCCAGCAGGGACTGGTTTTGGTCCTGAGCTACACCTGGGGAAGGTGACACTGCGTGTGGCTGGGGTGGGGATGGGTGCTGGTGTCATAGCTGCATGCCCATGCACACCTTTGCATGCCCGTGCACACCCACGGACAACTGTGCATTCCCATGCACGCCCATATACACACCCATGGACAACCATGCATCCCCATGGACAACCACGGATGCCCATGTTCAACCATGCATGCCTATGGACAACTATGCAGACCCATGGACAACCATGGACAACCATGCAGACCCATGGACAATCACGGGCAACCATGCACACCTATGCATGCCCTTGCACACCCAAAGGCTGTGTGAGCACACTGCAGAGCTCCCTGCCAAGCAGGAGAGGAAGCTGAGAGGACACCACACTGGCTGCCTTGGGGACCTGGAGCCACCTCTCTCCTGAGCTCCTTGAGCCTCTGCAGGTCAGCAAAGCTGTGTCCCTCCAGCCCATCCATGTGCTGCTGGATGTGCTCACAAGAATCCCATCACACTCACGTATAGAATTCAGCCTCCGTTTACAATAAGTAGCACAAAGAGGCTCTGATCCCCCCGTGCGTGGGGTTTGGGGATGAGCTGAGCTCCATCAGACTCACAGGGAACATATCTGGTGAGAACGACATTAACACCAGCGCATTAAAAGGCAAAAGGATCGTCCAAGTATGTGTCGCCAAACCAAAAATCTGTAAAATCATAGAATCACAGAATGGTCTTGGTTGGAAGGGACCTTAAACATCATCCCATTCCAACCCCCAGAAATAGTGAGAGCAAGACTGGACAAACTTTTGTAAGACTTCAAAGTTACAAAGCTAACGTAAATGCTAACCTATGCATATCTACCTACCTGGAGTTACCCACTTTGGTATCACAAAACCACTTCTTGCAGTAGGACTGCTAAACCTGGAGATTACAATCTTTCTTTCAATTTTTGCTAGGCACTGGGTGCCTTTCTGTTGCACAAACGGATCAATTTTGTCCTTTACTCCTGGACACCTTCAAACCAACACAATTGTGTGCTTTTTTCCTTTTAACAGTCCACAAGATCTGTTGCTTAATTTGCCCAGCAGTAATTACCTGGCAAGACAGAGTAGGATTATTCTTTAGAAGCAGCAAACTGTTTCCAAGCCAGAAATGTGACTTTTACATGTAAGCGAGTCTAAAATTAGTGATTGCTGCCTGTGCAGGAAGGAAATTGTAAAAGAGCAGCCACATACTATCAGCAGCCCAAATGTGAGATGGGGAAGGTATGGTTTTGCTTTTTTTTTTTTTTAAAAATGTCCACATCCTGAGACTCGCGCTGCCGCTGTCGCCTGAACTACCAAACCCTGGGGGTGAAAATGCTCGAGTTGTCAGAAAAAAAAGTGAAGGGCTGAAAACCTGGTCTTAGATTTCAGGTGCCCACTGGTTGGGTTTCCAACCCTGCTGACTCACGCCGGGATGGAGACATGCACAGCTCCTCTCCTGTTCTGCAGCCCCCAGCCCCACGGGGATGAAACATTGCCCCACTCCCACCCTGCAGAGTTCCCACTGATTTCCTGAGAGGGGGATGGTGAGGGAAATAATTCTCCTTTACATGAATGTATGGATGCACCCAGTAAATATGGACCCATTGCTAGGGAAAAAGGAAAGAGAAGGTCACAAATATATATGTATCGATATATTATTTTTTTTTTCCCAGTTGAACTGTTCTGTTCTAATATATAATTTAGTTCCTCCTCTTTCTTCCATCTAACCCATTCAGATGGCATTTGTATCTACCAATGGTTTAAAAAAGCTTTGTCTGGGATGGATACCTGTGATGCTTACCTCTGTCAACGAACACATCTGTGGATCAATCGACCGGTGCATGGAAGCAGCAGGAATGTTGATGACAGTCCAATATCCCGATGCCACATCGTGTCCCCAGTTTCAGATTTTCACTTCTCAGATATGCTCTTCACTCTGCTGTCTGTCTTCGCCTCTTCTGCCTCTGGAAAGCACATCCTGCCTGTGTCTTCTTCCCACCAGGTGTGGTGTCCAGGCTGTCAACCAGCACCCTGGAGGATGGGAATTGAATGGCAGACGTGAAAATCCAACACCAAGGTCCTTGTATGGGCAGCTCTTGAATATATGGATGGCCCAGGGTTTTGAATCAAACCAAAATGCTGTTTTATTTCCCCTCCCCCAAACATCACACTCTCTCTAATTCTTGGTATTAGTATTTTCTAAACTTTTTCTAAGTTTGGTTGTATTCTTAGCGGCCGTATCTCGTGCCAGCAATTTCCACAGGTTAATTATCAGTGGGGCAATGAGTTTCACAGGTTGTTCAGCTTCATTGTGACATGTGGTTATACACCTTGGAGGCACGTAAAGGAAGTATGAGCTGAGTAATGTCTCTACCCACAGCCAGTGTGCACTAAAAAGCCCTGATCTGCTGTCTACCTCTCACTGCGCCTGCACAAGGTTGCAAACCTGACCGTACGTTATGCCATCCCAGTGAAAGCTGCATGGAATTATTTTATCACATTTTTCTTTACTGTTGAATGAGTGTCGCGGATTAAACCAGGACAATGAGTAACGTGGAGAACGTGGCTGCTGTTGAAGTTATAGTGTGGGGATCTTCGCACAAGGGATGTTTTTTTGGTGTGCAGAAGAGGTGACTCCATCTCCCTTAATGTATGTAAAGGGGTGGTGACCCCATGTCCCTTGATGTACAGGTATGGTAATCCCATGTCTCTTAATGTAAAGGGGTGATGACCCCATGTTCTTTGATGTAAAGGTGTGGGGACCCCATGTTTCTTGATGTAAAGGGATAGTGACTCCATGTCTCTCGATGTAAGGGACTGGTGACCCCATGTTCCTTCATGTAAAGGGGTGGTAACCCCATGTCTCTCAATGTAAAGGACTGGTGACCCCATGTCCCTTGGGCTTGGTGGCCCTGTCGCCGAGACACAGACAGTTGGGGGCCCACAGAGACGTCTAACGGGTCTAACACATGCTCAGCAAAAAGGATCTTTTCACACAAACAGAAGGAGAGAAGAAACTAAAAAGAAATAAGAACTGGGCTGTAGTGTCTTCAGCGCTTCAGCAGAGCCTGTTGGTCCCTCCCTCCCGTCGCAGCAGGATGGGGTGGATCAGGTGTGAGATTGTGATATTCTTGGGGTGGAGGAGTCACCAACAGTGCGGTGCAGATCAGCCAGGAACACCCTCCCTGTGGGTCTGGGTGCCTAACGTCCCCCTTCGAAAAGGAGGCTTGAAAATTAGTTAAAGAAAACACATGATAAATGAACAATAAATAAACTTAGCACACAATTATGCATTAAATATGGATCAGTAGCTAGAATTTTAAATTCATTTATGCTACCGCTCTGCCACCACGACCATGCATTCTGCAGGAGGAGAGAGAATTAATTCTGGTTTAGTGTCTGAAGCACAGGAGAGCTGGGATTTCATTTGGGTTTCGTCACAGACCAGCTCCACGACCTCCACCAGGTTTCCTATCCACGGAGTCGGGATACAACAACTACCATCCCTGGTGGAAGCCTCCGGATCTGGAGTCCAAAAGCACCATATAACGTTTGGGAACAGGAACAGCACAAGAATTTGAAGAAAATAGATATTCAGAGAGAGAGAGAAATGAGCTGCAGAGACTAAAATTGGGTAAAAAATGTTAACATTTAACTCGCAAAGCTAAATAACAACAGCGGACCTCCGTGTGGGGAGACAAAAGACCAAAGCCCAGGTCATGACCAACACGTGGGAGCAAAGCTGCAAATAAATGCCTGGATGGGCAAAAGCCTCCTGAAAACGTGCCATGAAGGAAAAATGACAGCAGAGGGAATGGCCACACCACAGAAGTAGGAATATTCATTAAAAATTCTGCTATTGGTGAATAGCCCTTTGTGTTCCTCAGGCTTCAGGAGGATTAATTCCTT